TCCATTCTTTCTCCTTCACAATAAAAAAAATCTGATTTAATGCCAGGTAAAATAACTCCTCAGAAAATGCTTTAATGAAAGAGTTACGATATGACCTATGAATGAATCTACCTTCTTATCTTCATAATCCTACCATGAATCATTCCATTGACTGTTTTGTGTCTGTATCACTCTACAGAGAGCAGTCTGACCAAAGTTTTTATTAACCTGTGTCAAATTCTATGGAGACTCGTTAGTTTTTATCTTTCTTGAATTAGGTGCTACGTTTCAAATTTAGAATTACTTCTTCAACACTTTGTTTTCCTTGACTCCCATGATATCTATTATCATGAGACTGTGATTTGTATATGATTAAAAACAGCAAAACAATTAAAGTTTAGAGAATATCTTGGACTCAGGAAATCTTATTTCTTATCCTGAATGGTTTGCTGGGACCTAGTAGAAGTCAAGTGTGCTGGGTGGGTACTACTACATGCTTATCACGTGCTTTGCCAGTTTCACTGGACACACACACACACACACACACACACACTTTCTTAAATACCAGCTTAGAAAACATGGACAATTTTAAATACAATCTGGCAATGGAAAATATAATATATTGATGACTTAATCACTCTGTTTATAGCAAAATTAGACCAAAGTGGATCTTCTTTCTTAGTGTCTGCTGTCTTAGTTTATCACAGGTTAATTTTTTTTAATCACAGCTTAATTGGAGGGTGTGATCTTCAATACACTATTTGAAAATGAAGATTGATATTGTAATAATTACTGAAACCATAGCTCATTTATAGTTGTATCTAGTATTGTGCATATGATAGTTGACCCTGTAAATAACTGAAAGTGAATGAATGCTGAATTACTGGCAGATAATGGATTAAAATGATGATTTATTTCCTAGATTTTTGAAAGTTATTTCCTGAAGTAATAATTCAGCAATCTTTATAGGAAAGTGAAACTTTAGAAATTTGAAACACTTGGTGTTTACTAATTTCTCCTCCTCGTTTCTCTTATTTGAAAAGATTCCTTATTTTCTGCTGTCAGAAACTTCTCAGAGGCTGCTTCAGATTTTCACAAAAGACTCTCAGAAATTGATCTTAATAAGTAAGTTTCAGATGTTTTTACTGTTGCAAAACAATCTGATTGCAGGGAATAACTGCTTTCACTTGTAAACAATTAGTTCTGAATCAGTGCTACTCACATTGTGGTTTACAAACTGTGGCTTCAACATCACCTGAGCGCTCCTTGGAAGATCAGCAGATCCCATCCAAGCAAAACCACCCAACCCAGTACCCCAGGGTCCTTTCTGACCCGAGGCAGCCCTAGAGGACAGAGTAGAGCTGCCCCAGCCCTGCCCAATTCGAATTCTGCACTTCAGCAAGATCTCCAGGTGATTCAGCCATATTAAAAGTAGGGAAACATGGTGTCAACAGGTAGACAGGGGCTAAAGAGAGATCTTTAGGAGTCTTGGTTAAAACTGGTTAAGAGTGAGCTCTAGATGGTTAACTACAATGGTGGGACATTTGTCTGCAGACCTTTATCCAAACATGCCTGTACATCAGTTTGGAAATGTTTTTCTTTTTGATACTCTTACATTTCTTTTCTTTAACCTCTTACAACATATAGGTTGAAAACAGGTGGGAATTTAGACTCAAAGGGAAAATGCTCTGGAGCAAGCACAGATCATTCCACAGTACAATTGGAGCCACATTTCTTTTTCTTTTTTGGGGTGTGTGTGGGGTGGGGGTGGGGGGCATATGTAATCAGAACAGTGGTTAAGAGTTGGACTGCTAACCACAAAGTCAACAGTTTGAAACCATTAGCCAGCTAGGGGCGAGAAAGATGAGGCTTTCTGTTCCCGTAATGATTAGTCTCAGGAACTCAGGGGCAATGCTACCCTGTGCTATAAGGTCACTATGGGTCAGAATCCACTCTGAGAGTGTTCGAGTTTGACCTTCCCTTTCGGGAGAAAGTTCTACTACTCATTTGAGGGGTTTTTCTCTCGTTTGGATGATACAGGAAAGGGGAATTTCCCATCTACTGTCTGCAGCTATCTACAGCTACCTCCCCGCCGCCCCCCCCACCCGACACATGAAATTGTCACTTGTTACTTCTTGTTCAATCTTTATTCCAATGCTTTCTTTCACACTTGAACTAGACGGCATGTCAGGAAAAACTTAGCAGTTCTCTCTGTGGGCTTTTCCACGAGGCCTCATTAGCTTACTACAATTAATTTTCTTAAAAAGGGCTTTGAAGTAACTTTCTCACCAGTCTGTGCTCTTAAAAAAGCAAAACAAACCAGTTTCCCCAATAAGTCTCTTTACTGCACAACAGGTATTATACACAGCTTGCATGAGAAGCACCGCTGCATTAATTTGCATTCTTAAAAATCAATGGATTTAGAAGTGTAATTTCCCATGGATTACTCACACTTAGTATTTAAAACTTGTTTCCGAGACAAGGGTTATGATTGTATTTATCTTGTTCTCAGCCCTATTGCAGTGAGAATCATGAATGATCAACTGATGCTTCTGGAAAGAGCGTTCATCGATCCTCTTGGCTTACCAGGGAGGCCATTCTATAGGTAAGACAGCAACAGGTGATCTATAGAGGGCACCAAACACCCCATTATAACCAAAAATGAGCATACCCAAAGCCACCTTTAGGTTATTGTCATCAGATAAATGGAAGGTGACCATAGGAAGGGGCTTCTAAAAGTTTGTGGAAAAATTTCATTATCGTTTCATGCCATTTTTCCATAAACTTTCTGAAGTTCCCTAGTATTGGGATCAACTTGATAGCAGTGAGGTTTTTTAATATATAGCAAGGGTAATATGGGTTATATTTTGCATTTAATAACTTTATGTTTGGATGATCAGAAAATTAATTTCATATTCCT